GCCCAACCTTCCTTCCGAGGAGTGGCTGGTGGGTTTGAACCGCCAGCCGTCTGGTTATCAGGCAAGTGTCTTAGCCACTATGCTACCAGAGCTCCCCTATATACCACCTGGAAAACCCAAGGAGGGGTTGCTATGAGTCAGGTCTATAAGTCAGGTCCAACTGGACAGCACATAACAACAACAACAACAAAGGGTAGAAATGCAATTCTCAGCAGGGGTTCAAGCCAGAATGAACCAGTTAGAAGGTCTGTTTTGCTCTTACTCCTCTGATTAGCTGCCTGTGTGTTGGGTAATGAAACAATCATGCAATTTAAGTGTAGTTCAGTACTCACATGAGCCAATTATATTCAGAAAATGAGGATATTGTACTGTGGCCTTGAACAGTACCTCTAAAACCAGTCAGTTGATATATTCCACAGGTTTTTTTGTTTTTTTTTTTTAATTGTGATTTGGGTGAAAGTTTACAGAGCAAATGCACTTTCCATACAGCAGTTCACATACACTTTGTCTCATGACATTGACTACAATTTACCCCAATGCAACAGGTCCCCTCCCACTTCCTCCTGATAGTTACCTCTTCCCTGTGTCCATCCCTCCATACACTCCTGTCTCCTGAGCTGTCTCCCTGTGCATAAACAGCCCTTCTTTCTCCCATGATTGTTCTCTCCAAGGAGTGTATCTGCTTCGGGTAAATGTTCAACTCATATGCTTTTCTTTTGTTTGACTTCCAGACCTAAAGGGCAGCTAGGGGCCATAGTCTCCGTGGTTCCACCAGGCTCAATCAGACCAGCAAATCTAGTCCCTTCCTCCTCCCCTTCTTTTTCCCAACATTTCAGTTTTTGAGGGGGGCAGGGATGAGCACAAAAATGAAGTGGTTAGCTCTGATGGCACGAGACTCCAAAGACTTGAAAGTTGACAACCCAGCGTTGTCAGGGCTGCTGCCCTTCGCTGCTGTAGCAGTAATATTCATTTGAGTCCTCCATTTCATAAATATTCTCCTCAATGGTGTAAATATTTTCCTCTGAGCGCATCCCCTCTTCTACTGCATTTGCTAACCCTGAGGGTGGGAGGTTGGCCATGGAGATGAAGCTGTGAAATGGAATAGTGCAGTTCAGTTAGCAATTCCTAAGGCAATAGAGAGTTAGAGAATGGGCTTTGCTAAAGATATAGCACCCAAATGCAGTAGATGATCCTTGATTAGATTCTGAAAGAAGGAGAAAGGGGAAAACATCAAATAGCAATAAAATTATTTAAGGAGCAATAGAGGATATTTAAATGAGTGTTAATTTTCTTATGTATAAAAATTCTATTGTGTTATCTAAGAGAATATCCTTATTCCTAGGAGCTGTGGGCTGAAATGTTTTAGGTAAAGTGTCAAGATGTCTGCAACTTCTTTACAAATGGTTCAGAAAAGAATTATGTGTATAAATACAGAAACAGATAAAGCAACTGTTGTTGTTGTTGTTATGTGCCGTCGAGTCGGCCCCGACTCATAGCGACCCCTCCTTGGGTTTTCAAGGC